AATCCATTGACTGGACCAATGTATATCAATCGACTTCTATTGACGAGAAGGTCAATTACCTAAACGAGTCTGTCCTTAAGCTTTTGGACGCGCACGCGCCTCTAAAGGCAGTCCGTGTTAGGCGTCCACCGGCTCCCTGGATCACTCCGGGAATCAAAATGGCTATGAGACGTCGCAATAGGGCGTTCTGTAGATATAAGAGGGATCGTAGCGATGAGAACTGGGGACTGTATAGGTTGGCGAGAAATCGGTGTAACCAGATGGTGAGAGCTGCTAAACGCCGATACATTTTCGATAACGTTCAAAACTCTTCTCAGGCTGATGTATGGAAGTTCCTAAAAACGCTGGGTGTCTGTGGTACTTCATCCAGTGTTTTACCCACAAATATTTCTCTAAATACTCTTAACCTGCATTTTGCTTCATCTTCTGGTTTGGCGGATGCCATTAAAGTCAGCACTATCGCCGACATTACTTCCAAGCCTATATCACTCCCCGACACTTTCACCTTTAGTCCAGTGACTGAAAACGAGATCCAGCGAATTTTCGCATCGATCAAATCCAGGGCGGTGGGCTGTGATGGGGTGGGTCGTACCATGATTTCCTTAATTCTTGAGCACTTCCTTCCTATTTTCACCCACATAATAAACTTCTCGTTATTTCACGGTGTATTTCCCACAACTTGGCAAAAAGCGCACATCATCCCGCTTCCAAAAATTCCTAATCCCTGCCGGGCCAACGATTATAGACCCATTTCTATCCTTCCTTATCAATCTAAGATCCTTGAAGCAGTTGTCCATAGACAAATCTCCTCATATATCTTAAAACACAAATTACTGTCTTCCTTCCAATCTGGTTTCCGACCCGGCCATAGCACTTCTACTGCCTTGCTCAAAGTCACTGAGGATGTGAGGTGTGGTATGGAGGATTCGAGGTTAACTGTGTTAATCTTAATCGACTTCTCCAACGCTTTCAATGCAGTTGACCACGATATTCTCTTGGCCATATTAACTCAATCTGGGGTCTCGTCGTCGTCGCGGGAGTGGTTCTCAGCATATCTTCGTGGTCGCCAGCAGTCTGTTCGCGTTGGTCAGGAACTCTCTGACTGGGGCGGACTGACGGCTGGTGTACCGCAGGGCGGTATACTCTCTCCTCTATTGTTTTCTTTATTTATTAATTCTATTACTAGTCTTCTCACATGCTCTTATCATCTGTATGCCGATGACTTGCAACTATATGCTCAAGCTAGGATTGCGGATATGGGGAGTTGTATCCAACAACTCAACGCCAACTTACTCATTGTGGAAGATTGGTCTAAAAAGTATGGTGTCACAGTAAATGTTGGTAAGTGTCAGGCCATAGTGTTAGGTAGTTCCTACTATCTGAGTTGTTTAAATACTGTTCACCTTGAGCCAATCATATTCGATAAAGTGACCATACCGTTGTCTCCTCATGTAAAGGACTTGGGACTGTACCTGGATAGAGGGCTCAGTTGGAACCACCATGTCACTCAGGTAAGTAAAAGAGTCACTACCACGCTGCGATCTCTCTACAGATTTAAAAACTTTCTTCCACCAAATACAAAAGCGCTGCTTGTTCGGTCTCTTGTGCTTCCTGTGATTGATTATGCTGATGTTTGTTACTCTGACCTATCCCAAGACCTTCTTAACAAATTGGATCGAATGCTCAACAATTGTATCCGCTTTATCTTCGGACTACGTAAATACGACCATGTCTCTTCCTTTCGCGCTCAGCTTAAATGGCTTCCTATCCGTGAGAGGCGATCCCTTAGATCCCTCTGCATGCTCTTCTCTATTCTAAATGATCCTTGTGCTCCCGAATACCTAAAATCTGGCTTTCAGATTTTGGGCAGCTCTCACAGCCGAAATCTCCGTTCAGCTGAAAGTTTGCTTCTAGAGATCCCGTCTCACCACACTTCCTTCGTTTCTAACTCCTTTAGAGTTAGTGTAATTAAATTATGGAATGCACTACCCCATAGTATAAAAATGGCTCCAAACAAAATGGCTTTTAAACGTAGTGTTCGTGAGGCCTATTTAAAGGCGCTACAACGCTGAGTTCGTGTCTTCTTTAATTTATATCTTCGTCAATTTATATTATATTATAATTATATATATGAAGTTATTTATGTATGTACATATTTTGTGTTTATTATATATTTTTATACAGTATGTTATACAGTATTTATTATTATTATTACTATTAGTTATTTATTTTGTTTTTTTTTTTTGGATATTACACAGGCCCATTTTCGCTGAGCTTACATTTAACCCAAAGGTTGACTGGGAGAAAATGCCATATGGCATTAAGTCCGCCTTATGTACCTTATTTTGTGTGCATTAAAGTGTAAAATAAATAAATAAATAAATAATACTTAGAAGGGGGGAATTGCACCTCTAGTAACGTCACTCATACGATAAACACAACGTTAGTTGGTTACTTGCTTAATTGGGTAGTTTCCAGGGTAACAAAATTAAAAATTTAATTAGTCCGTCAGTTAGATAATGAATAAATATTAGACACACATTTTTTTATTTTCTCGTATTATGTTGCAATTCTTAGATTTAATGCCGCTAAATTTAGGAGTCGGTTGTTACGTCATAACGTGCTACAAAATGTGGCACGCTGTGACGTCTCACGATATTTCAAATAAATAAATAAAATGTTTATCTAAAGATTTAAAGTAATTTACCAGACATACATTAAAATAAAATTTAGGAAAGTACTTTGTAACAGTACAATGTAACACCCACTTTCACTATTTATGTTATGAGTCCCATGTAATAGGGGGTGAGCCTATTGCCATAGACCGTGCACAATTCCAGACTACGTGCTACTACTGCGATTTTTTTAAAACCCGTACTTTTCCCGACCCGGGAATGGAACCCGAGATTTAGAACACGAACCCGTGCCCGGCAGTCGCACTTGCGACCACTCGGCCAACGAGGCAGTCACAGATTTTTTTTAATAGATGCAATAATCATATTTTGACTAGGCCATACCAGTTTATCCAAGAGTGTGCATATTTATATCAGGATCAACTAGTTTGTCCTAGCCTAAACTGGTTTATCCTATCGGGCTTAGGACAAATTAGTTTTGACTAGGCTATACTAGTTAATCCTAACGCGTATAGGAAGAACTAGTTTAGCCTAGGCAAAACTAGTTTGTCCTGAAATCGGGTTTGGCCGGTAACATATATATGTTACCGGCCATCGACTATCATCTTTGAATTATATATATAATTCAAAGATGATAGTCTGACAGACTGACGGCCATAGTGGTCTATCAACGCACAGCCCAATCCACTGGACGGATTGGGCTAAAATTTGGCATGCAGGTCGATATTATGACGTAGGCATCCGCTAAGAAAGGATTTTTATCATTTTCACCCCCGATGAGGTAAAATAGGGGGTGAAAGTTTGTATGAAACATTTATAATACTAACACTATTTTACTTTGTCAGTTTTACACCGATTGGGTTGAAATTCGGCAGGCAGATAAATGTTACATAAAATCACGGGTTACTCACGTGTATATACTGAGAAAAGCTCTACTGGATTCAAACTACAGAGGGGTTCTTCCTCGTTCGTCGCGACGTCGCACGCTGCTCATGAGGAAGAAGCCCTCTTTTCTCAGTATATTCACGTGAGTAACTCACGATAGTTATTATAAAAACAGATAAATGTTACAATTTAGGCATCCCCAAGAAAGGATTCTGACCATTTTCCCAATAGGGTAAAATAGGGAAAGAGAAAGAAAGAAAGGAAAAACATTTATTTAGCACCAGGCACGATGCAGCATAAATAAAATATAAAAAGACAATCAATGTGTGACAGTGGAAGTATAATGAAAATATAAGAGATGAAAAATTAAAATAAGGGATGAAAGTTTGTATGAAACTTTGTATGATACCATTTATTAAAAAAGATAAGCCGTACCTAAGTAAGCTGCGACGTAATTATCTACGTCTTTATACCTATCCATCAAATTTAATGACAATTATCTATTATATGCAATTAATTTATTGTGTGAAGGAATGATAAGTGCCATGATGATTTGCAAATTAATTGCACGGTCATTCGTCAATAGAGCACGTACTATTGCGTAGAAATTTCCAATATTGAAATGTTCCGTTTGAAAATTGGATCTGTAATTCCTTTCAATGTAATGTGAATAGGTTTAATAATGTAAAGGTGTTCCCTCACCAGGAGCGTTCGCATGTAATGTAACAGTACAGATCTAAGCATTACATCAGTGAAGGAGGAGAACCGAGCATTACAATGCGCACCTTGTAATGATACAATGTGTAATATCTTGATACTACTTGTAACATCAATGCGCTCCACTTCCCCCAGCACCCCGCATGCTTGCTTTGTCTGACATCTTGCTATGAAATGTTTAAAGTCGAATCAATATGTTACATTACACGTAAATGCTCATTGTCAAAGACCCAATTACATCTTCCCCAATCTCCCTAATTCTTATATCTCCAACAATCCTCGAATTCCTCATTCCCAAAAGGCCGGTAATGCACTTATAACTATGGACTCTATGGACGACGCCGATTACTTACCATCAGGTGATCTGTCTGCTCCTTTATATAAAAAGTTACACCTTAATTTTAAGCGCCCTGAGGGTCTTCGAACTTCTTACAAAATGGCCCACAACATATTATAATTCCGAAATTCTATTTAACTCATGTACTAAGTCTGTATGCGACTACAGAAGCAATCTGTATAATTCATTCATAACTAAAAATAGCTTACGAGTTTTAAAAATCGAAGTAACACGATGACTCTCGATTTTTTATTCAAACTCAAAAATTTTAAAATGTCAAAACAATACAAACTGCTAACTCATTCACATCATATAAAAAATATAATAACAAAATCACAGTCTTATTAGTCTAATAAACTTGCGACAAAAACCGAACTGATTATAAATCATCCGAAACAGAGCTGCTCGTAGTTATCTTGACTGGTTTCCGTATAAAACACACGGAGAATCACTCACTCAATTAGTTACGAACACGGCCTCACGATGGTTGGGCTTAGACAAATTGTGCTGTGTATCACCTTACAAGTGATCTTCGCAGATGCCGCAAGAATTCTAGCTGTGTTTCCCGTACCTTCCTTCAGCCATCAAATCACCTTCAGGCCAATCACCATGGAACTCATCAAGCGTGGCCATGAAGTTGTGGTGATGACCCCAGACCCAATGTTCAAGAAGGGTGAAGCACCAGCAAACTTGACAGAAATAGACGTCCATGACATATCATACCAAGCTTGGCAAGTCTTCATGGAAGCAGCTAAAGGAAAAAAGGAGGATCTGATCACTCAAATGAAGGTGGCATCAGAAATGTTGATCGATATAGTAGATCTTCAATATCAAAATAAAGAAATGAAAGAAATAATCAAAGGGAAGCAACATTTTGATCTTTTGCTTGTCGAAGCTTGTATTCGGCCAGCCTTGGCATTTTCACACGTCTACAAAGTGCCTTTGATACAGATAAGTTCATTTGGAGCAATTTTTGACAATTATGCGGTGATCGGAGCACCGTTACATCCTTTCTTATACCCTAGTAGTATGAATCAAAGGATTTACAATCTGACAATATATGAGAAGTTGTACGAATTGTATAATAATTACATGATTGACCAAATGAGCAATGGTATGGCTGTTGAAGAATACAAAATGCTAAAAAAGCATTTTGGGCCAGATGTACCTGAAATAAAAGAATTACAAAATAGGGTTGAGATGATGTTCTTGAATGTTAATCCTATTTGGGAAGGAATTCGGCCGGTACCACCCAGTGTTATACATTTGGGAGGTTTGCCCCAGAAACCGCACAAGGAATTGCCTCAAGTAAGTGTTATATTTTAATACATTTTTGTTTGATTTTTTAACAAACCATCTCGACATTCAGCACACTAGGGCTGATTACTTAACTCGATAAATATTAGAATTTTATTTCTATTGTTTCCATTTAAATTATCGTACAAGTAATATTGTTAGATCGACTTTCAAACTCGAATATAGAGGTATTATGAAACTGAAAAAGACTATTATATTGTTCATTTTATTCTATCAAATATCTGAGATTCTAAGACCGTACAAAGTTCTACAAGTCAACAAGTAAACATTAGTACTATAATGAGGAAATAACAAGTAATCACGTACACATGGCAACATTTATTATCAAACTACACAATCCAGGTTATCTTGGTCTAGCTGTGTATGACTTTTCCCCAAATTTCACGGTCAATGTATACAGGTGTTGTATAACTTCTGTATTAAAAATATCAAGACGAACATCTTCTAAACACGTTTCTATAAGTCATCAAATAGCTATCTTATCGCAATAATAATAGAGTGTAAACTTGTTTGTAACGTGTCGAGTCATGATGATGATATTTAAGTAGGATATGGCATCGAAATCACTTGTCTTCAATCAACTGATAAATAATATCTAATATTGTACTTATCTCATGTGCGTGATAGAAGTATGATTTGAAGTAGTGGTCGAGATGCATTGCTCTATTTATAGACAATCTGTACTTAGGTAACGTATGACTACGAATATGTTTATCCATACAAAATTAATTGTTATATTAACGATACTGATTGACGAGGAACTCGACTGGTTTCAAGCCGTGTTTGAGGCTCATATTCATGAGCAGTTCTAAGACTGCCTCGTTGGCCGAGTGGTCGCAAGTGCGACTGCCGGGCAAGAGGTCTCTGGTTCGATTCCCGGGTCGGGCAAAGTATTACTGGGTTTTAAAAATCTCAGTAGTAGCACGGAGTCTGGAAAGGTGCCCGGTATATGGCAATAGGCTCACCCTCTATTACATGGGACTCGTAACATAAATAGAGAAAAGTGGGTGTTACATTGTACAATGGCATTGAGTGCCATAATGTGCATCTCTGCCTCCCCCTTCGGGGATAAAAAGGCGTGATGTTATGTTATGTTATGTTCTAAGACACGGGACGCGGCGACTGTTGTGCTGCTATTGTTAGAAGCAGGGCGACAGTCGCCATGCATGGAAAGTGTGGCTTGTAAGTACTCGAGTTTCTCATGATATAGTTACGTGAGTTAGCCGAAAATATTACTTTGAAGTTATTTTTATTTATGTGGTACAACCAGAGCGTTTGACGAGCTATAAGATTATCGAGTTCGATTCTCAGATCCAACAAAATAATCAAATTTTTAAAAGTTTATAGGGAGCTTATATTACCTTCTCTTTCTCTCTTGACTGGCTGAAGAAAAGATGGTGTTATTTATTAAAAATGTGTCTATACAATACATTGTTAAACTACCTTTATAATTATACGGCAACTTTTACGGTCTGAAACGAAAAATTAATCCTATAATTTCATATTAATATACTAAGATATTTTGCTTTTTTGTTGCAGGATCTAAAATCATATTTAGATTCTTCTAAAAACGGCGTTATTTACATCAGTTTTGGTACCAACGTGAAGCCGAGTCTACTCCCTCCTGAAAAGATCCAGACGCTTGTCAAAGCCTTCTCAAAGATGCCTTACGATGTTCTCTGGAAGTGGGACAAGGATGAACTGCCTGGAAGGACAGCAAACATCAGGATCTCCAAGTGGCTACCACAGTCTGACTTGCTTAGTAAGTAAATCGAAACTATTCTCTTAATTTTATACAGTTAAAAAATTTGCTCTATATTAATAAAACACCCCGTTACTACTACTACTCTTTGAGTCGAAATCTCGGTAACCGGTTAGGTCTTTTACGACTAAACTGTCGTTGACTAAAAATCACCCTAACTGTGTAACCTCAGAAATAACTCACAGTATACCTAGTGTTAACGTGTTCTTATTAAAACATATAGAAACATGATATATAGTATATTAAACAGATTATCCAAACGAGGCATAGACGAGATAAGAACTTAAGATGAAAATCAAACACTTTATCGTAAATAAAAATGACGTTTTTTTAACTGATAACATAATTTTTATGTACAAGATTATAAAGATGATATAATGTCGTCCTAATACAGCTGATTCACGTTGTAGACAGATAACTGTCGAGACGGTAATCAGAGAAACCGCTGAGTCACTATGATGAGGCGTGTTGAACTAATCACGCGAGTATGAAGTGATACAATGTTTCATTCAGTAATAGGAATATTGGTTTTGATGTCGTTTTTTATAATCTATTTCCATATTACGCATTTATTCATACTATAATAACTTTATATAAATAAATGTTGTATCATCTCTAGATATCATTATAATTCGTTCATAAATCACACAGTGATTTTAAAATTTTATATACGTATTTAAACTGTCAAACACCAAGCGGTCACCGGTGACCGCAACCTATTGTTCTATAATTGTGTCTGCAAAACCGGTACTCGACGAGTTAAATACTTTCAAGAGATTTATTTACGATTTAAGTGATCAATTAATTTATTTTATCCAGACGTTTTTGTTGACGTTTTTTTATTACAACGAGCAATATTTACGTTTATTAATATTTGTCTAAATAGTATTTTTCTTATTTATTTAATTTAACCTTTCAACTACATTTTGACGCAAATAAATTTTACGTGAAAAAAATACATTTTTAGTATATCAGTACTAATGAACTAGATAGATATATCGACATTATTTTTGCCCTAATATGACTGTCAAGCAACTACTAACAAAGACATTTTATCTTCTATAACAGAGCACCCAAAAATAAAACTCTTCGTAACACAAGGAGGTCTACAATCAACAGACGAAGCTATTACAGCAGGAGTACCTCTAGTTGGAGTCCCCATGTTAGGAGACCAGTGGTATAATGTGGAAAAATATGTCCACCATGGAATTGGAGTCAAACTGGAACTGATATCTCTTACTGAAGAAACGTTTAGTACTGCAGTTAATACTGTTATTGGAAATGAAAGGTGAGATTAATAGTAAATTATTTCTCGAAATATTGATTGACATGAATTAAGGAAGTCTGGAGTTAGATGTTCAATATCCAGTAGAACTAGATCAGTGGTGGAAATATAAATATTTAAATTCATGTCGTTTCAAACATTTAGACATTCAAATCTAAAAAAGGGATCTCTGATTTTGAGATCTATCTGGTCAAACTAGAATAATTAATGTGCATCTGTTTTTGCTTGCCTTGTATAATCATTATAAGACCCAGAAATATGACTATGACACCGTGGCATTTAACTTAAAAATCATATCCTCATCGACAAAGAATCTCCAAAACATTGGATTATTTTTGTATGCTAATCCCAGTTTTTATTTTCAGTTACCGCAAAAACATCCAACGACTAAGAACTCTGATGACTGATCAGCCCATGAAACCTTTGGACCGTGGTATTTGGTGGATAGAGCACGTCCTCCGCCACGGAGGAGCGAAACACCTCCGTTCCCCTGTCGCCAATATTTCTTGGGCGGAGTATCTGGAGTTTGAATTGATTGCCATAGTCCTTTCAGCTTTATTGGCCGCTTTAGCCGTTGCCATTGCCGTAGTCTATAGTCTGTACGGGTTTGTAACGAGAAACTACATAATTAAGGCTAAAGTGAAGAGTAGTTAATGTTTTTAGTCGTTTTTTAGTTGTAGTTAAATATTTTTTAGTAATTATTTGTTTATGTTAAAACTTTCGTGAGACATACTAAATTAATTATTATGTTTTTTAGCTTAGTCACATAATTATTTGACGAGGAATTTGACTAGTTTCAAGCCATGCTAGAGGCTCATATTCATGAAACTTGTCGAGTTCCTCGTCAAATAATTACGCAAGTAAGCCGACAAATATAATAATTAATAAATGTGTTTAAAAAAATATGAATGTTATTATTTGGAAGGCTTTCTGAAGATTGTTATTGTTGTGTGTCACTATTCAAAATGTGTAGATATGAATTTAGCTTTTAATATAAAGATTTCGTTTTGAAACGTGATATTTAAAATAAATTTCAATTGTGTCTTTTATTAATTGTTTAGTTCACATTTCGTGTTCGTGTGTTCACATTTAGTATTTATTGGGTCAATATTGAAATGTGATTATTTCTAAATCTTAATATTTTTATCTAAACAAGATAAACAGCTCTTATTTACTGTTAAGTTACGTCACTCTAACAAACTGAGGAATAAATATTATAAGTGAGATTTAACAAAGAAATTCTACTGTAAATAGTTTATTTTAGATACTTAATTGTTATACAAATGTGATACATTATATTTAAGTCTATAATTATTAACCTAAATATACCTATATTCATGATCTAAAATAAATGTAATATTTTATTGTAATTTCAAATTAGTTTAGTAAATTAACCTGTAAACTAACAGGTTAATTTATTAAATTAATTTTTGAATATTTATATCTAAATATAATATTCAGAATCATTAACAAGGGTTGTGATTTATTTGTTTTGTTCTTACATAGAAAATATTTGCAAGCCGAATTTATAGGCGGGATAAAATGAACCATTGTTATGTTGTAAAATCTGTAAACTGTGAATCTATCTATTTATCTAGTTAATAAATATGTTGATAAATTACTTATGATTTTATCATTTGTCTTTCTAAACTGATAATTTACGCAACGAGTATTAATAGACTTGATGGCTGGAGATGGTCATCTTAGACGGAGATGGTAATCCATACCCAGACAAGTTTTAAAGAAAATACTTTAAATTAAGACATACAATATTAAGCCAAATTTTTCAGATTCTAAATTTAAAAATAAAAATTTTGAACACGAATTAGCCATAGGATTGACCGCAAAAAGCTTTACATAGAGAGGAGTGGAAGGAGGGTAGGGAGGTCTTTGCCCTGCAGTGGGACGATCATGGCTGAAAATAATAAATAAATAAATAAAATTAGCCATACCACTTAATTTAGTGTTTTTTAGTTTCCGTGCGTTTAGGCAATTTTGCCATACCTATTATTGGAAGCAAGTATAACAGCTCACACATAGGACCCACATAGTTTTTAGTCAAATTTCCGTGGTGCTTGGCGACTGGGCTTCACCCAGTTGTACAGACTTTTCTTTGTGCCTTTAGGCTTAATTCATTCTGTCTCCTGCAGTAATTCATCCAAGGAAGTGGAAACCATAGTTTTTTCTTCTTCTCCTCTTGTAATATCTTCTGATTCACTTCGTTGCGGGAACCAAGACAGTTATTCATGTCCCTGGGACGCGCCGGACTTCAGTGTTCTGGTGTTTTCATGGTTGTATCTACTGTAGATCCTGACTTACAGGAGTTGCAGCGGTTTTGGGAGGTTGTGGCGGGCTTGTCCCATAAAAAAAGGGCTCTTCCCAAATAGGTGACAAATAAAATCATCACTCTGAAGATCACGTTTTTATGCTCTCTTTATTGCCCTTTTTTGCAAAGATGCACAGAGGAGTGAGGTGTTCGTCTTCTCCGTGCAACGTCTCGGAGACGCGCGTGGACACAATGCGCGCCACCGTCTCGGGTCCTTTAAAACGGGGTGACAGGGACTTTCCCAAGTCCACCGTCTCCGGACCCATTTAGGGGGGTCGAAAGAGAGCGATTTCTGCTCTCCTTCGACGCCCGGTGCGCCTACTGCGGGAAGGTAGAGAAATTGTAATTTCCCTTTCCCTCACCGCAGCCTTCTTTCGCAACATTACATCTTCGCAGAAGGACACCACTGCATCCCACGACTCTGCACTGCCGACCATTTTCTGGACAACAGTCGACAGTGACAGATCGTCACCGATCTCTTATATATGGACACGACGCGGCTCATCCCAAGCACTCGCACGCACTCCATAAGGGTGTGCTGCGATCGGACGTCAACCTACTCCAATCTGACAATTTTATTCATTGAATTTTCTACTTAATCTCGTTACACGAGTTATGGTTCTCTTACACCTAAGAGTAGAAAAATAAGCGAGAACTAATCATATATACAGATATTGTATAGGTACTTTATGTTCTTTCCTTTAAACTGTCAAACACCAAGCGGTCACCGGTGACCGCAACCTATTGTTCTATAATTGTGTCTATAATGACGGTAATCGACGAGTTAAGGTAATAACAAAACAGTTTCCATAGAAGTATTTATATATTAATTAAAAAACCATCGTGAATATAATAGCTCTTTAAAAAACATGCTGTAAATAATTATTTTATTATATACAGGAAACTATATAATTTATTTTAACTGCATGTCAGACATACCATTACACATAATTACATATTTCTACAATATTTATGTTAAAAAAATATAAATATATAGGTACCTTGTACACTAGAAAAACCTCTAATGACATCATAATTGTTGCACAATGTTTATATAAAAATGTATAGGACAATATAAGTATGTAACGTATGTAGATAATAATATGTGGGTATGTATAAATAAAACTAGGTGACACTTTGTACGATTTGATCACCTCTTAAGATGACCTGGATGGCCGAGTTTTTCAGCCCTCGAAACTTCGTAGATACAGAATTTGAAGAAAATCGTTCGAGATTTTTCCGAGACCGTTCATCTATACTAATATTATAAAGAAGAAAGATTTATAAATATTTTTTTTGTTTGTAATGAATAGGCTCAAAAAGTACTGGGCCGATTTAAAACATTCTTTCACCAATAGAATGCTACATTCTTCCAATTTGGCATAAGCTACATTTCATTTTGAAAAAAATTAAGGATCCTTGGTAAAATTTGAACAATGTAACCGAAGGTGTAGAAAAATGTGTCTTAAAATTTCGAATGCGCTGCCGAAGCTATTAGCGATAGAATAAAATAATGTACAACAATATTGAAGAACATCATAATGTCTATAAAAAACTCCGCGGTAGCATATGTCCAACTATTGTAGTTATGTCACTACAACAATCCAAATTTCCAAATATAAATAATTGTCTACCCCGTGCAAAGCCGGGACGGGCTGCTAGTAATATATATATATATATATTTACATCCCGCAATCGATTGGACGTCCCATGAAGGCAAAAGTGCATTTAATCTGGCGTCCACCCGCTTTTGGCGTCCGCATACCGGACGCCACTTTTTTGGTCTATGCTACTTAGGTCCTTTTGGTCCTGGCTACACGTAGGTGAAAAATCGACAGAGGCCAAAAAATCGGTTCAATGGCTGTTATAGTATTTTGAAAAGTTCCCAAAGAAATCTCAGCGCAGATAG